GAAGAACAGGAGGRCAAGAGGAAATTAAAGATGTTTAGAGAAGTGTGATATTTCTCTGAAACTATTTACTTGCTACTTGGTTGAGAGACTAGTGTCCTCTGTCTAGAAGGCTGTTRTTCTGGACAGCCCTGTGATGTTTTATTTTCAATGGTAGATATAAGTAAGATTTCTAGTAACAGTTTCTTGTCAAATGCATATTGTGAGTCTGCCRTTACCAATAATGACATTAATTCTCATGCTTCTCAAAATCTTGGTCATGAATTTCTGCTTAGGGAAAGTGTCAGGCTATGACAGCACATTTTCTTGGGCTGGGGAATTTCTGCCGTGTGTGATAAAATTGAGTAGCCTCCTCTGTCTGAAATCCATACCGTGCTTTTCTTATTTTGTTAGAGAAAGTGCTKAATCACTCACAGAATCTCTTTGGATCTTGGGTGAGAGGCCAGTCTGCAGGTGGCTGCCGCAACAACAGCAGTTTCCCTACCAATCCCAAGTTCTGGCTGAGGGTCTGTGAATCGAGTGAGGTGTGCATTGCCCTGCTGCAGAGACACAGGAAATGCAGCACTGATTGGGCTGGAAGGATTCAAAATCCATCTCGTTTAGCAGAGGAAAATCCATCTTCAGCTGAAGGCATGCAGAGAAAGAATTATCAGGCTGTGGGATTGCATGTCTGGAAGGTAATACACAAGTGCCATTTTTCTCTTTGCAAATGGAAGTTTGAAAACATTACTGAAACATTTGATTGAAAACATTCATTTCACATAGCAGTGATACAATTCAACTGGTCACAAACTTTTTGTCCCTGATTTATGCTGGAATGGCTCTGTTTATCTTGCAGTAACTGTTTGTACAAACTATTTGTGGACTAGTTCTTTCTTCATATCACTGAGCACTTGGTATTGTTCCAAACTAATGCATAACATTTCAAGCTGATTACTTGAAGCCATTCCTAAATTTACTCCTCCTGAATATTAACTCTTCCTACTGAACTCTTTGCTGTTCAACTTCTCTGCTTATACTCGTCTTTGTTTTCTTTTGTAAATGTATGCATGTTTAAAAACATTTTAAACAATATTTGTTAATTGCTAGTGCTATTAAAAGCTACTTATTTTCTCTAAACCACCACACATCATTATGCATCTATTCTAGGTGGAGAAGAAACGATTTAACCTTCCAAAGACCCTCTCTGCTCCTCCAGTTGTAGGTACCGTCTGCCATTCCTATGATAGRGAAGTCCATGTGTGCTGTGACCTTTCACCGGGCTTTTATCTTGTTGTTCCCAGCACTTTTCTGAAAGATGCAGTAGGGAATTTCTTGCTYCGTGTATTTTCAACGGGAAGGATCTCTCTCAGGTAGGTTTCTTATAATTGTTGACATAAATACAAGTTGACATAAATACATTTCTTATAATTGTTGATGTAAGTGCAAGTGTAGCACTAAGTGGGAATGTTCAAAATATTTGGAAGAGTTGTGCAGCGTGCCAGGTAACAGCGTTGTGTTTTCTGTGAATTAATGCAAGTTGTACTCTAGCTCCTTTTTTTTTTTGTTGTGAAACTGCTGCTACCTCTTTTTAAAATACTAATCAGAAGTAGCCAGATGAGTGGCATCTTGACTCTAAACTGCAGCTTAGTGCTATATGCAGAGTCAAAATGTAATGTTGGCAACTGTTTAAGAGATGTTCAAATTTTTTTTTATATTCTGGTAGTGCATGTTTTATACATTTTAGTTTCTTTTCTCTCTTATATTTGATAGTGAGCTAAAGCCACCACCCACGGATGCTGCCCTCTGTGAAGAGCTCCCACCTGGTGAATGGGAGACAGTGCAACTGCMTGGATGCTGGAAAAATGGGCTAAGTGCTGGAGGCAGCAGGAACTTCCCCTCCTTCTATACCAATCCCTGCTTTCCCCTCTCCATTCCTGCAGGACCGGGTAAAAGCAGTGTGAAAGTCACCCTCCGTCAGCACTGCCTGGATAGCAAGTGCTGTCCAATAGGTTTCCATATTTTCCAGGTAAGGCTTCTGGTCTGTTTGTTTGTAAATTTGCCAAGGGTGAATGTTACCCTGTCAGTACAGGCTCCTTGCAGTTTGCAAGGGTTTTGCTGCTTCTAGGAGAAACACAGGCTCACTCAGAGAAGTAATGCCCGTGAAAGATAGGGAATAATTACATAGTTTCATAGCATAGTAACTAGATAATTAGGTCAACTAAATACTTGCAAGGTTCTAAATTATTTTTAGCAATGATGAACTCTTTTGAAGATTTGCAAAGAATTCTCAGTGTCCTAGTGATTGTGGACCAGACCTTTTGGTAATTCRTCATGAAAACTAACTTCATGCCTAATAATTACTTATATGTCCATGGGCAAGTGATATTGGATCAAAAGGACTGTGATTTCTTGTGCAGGTGATTGGAAACAAAACAAGATATGATTTGGTATGGACAGATACACATTCTACATGTGTGTGCCAGTGTATACTGTACAGGAAAAGCCTCTAAAAATATGAAGGACACACTCTGCTTAGCAGATCGCTGAGGACAAAAAACAAGAGCTTTAGGCTGCAGCAGGGAAGAGTGAGGTTAGACAACAGGGAAAGCTCTAGAGCTATGTGTCTGCACACATGCTAGGAATGATTGCTCTCTACTTAATACTGGCAACTGGGTTTTCTGGAAGCTTTCTCATTCCTCTTCTCGCTAGCTCTGTGTAGCAGAGTGAGTATTTGGAGTGGATGTCCATATGGAATGGACCATATCACACTTCGGTGTCCTAGGAATGAAACCTTGTGAGACTTGAAATAGATGAAAATGCAGGCATGTTTGCATTCTTTTTTTGCAGGTACCTAATAGCAGCTGGAAACCACAAAATACTTCTTTTCTACACTTGGAGCCGCTGGTGAGCTGTGTTCCTCACTGCTATTCCCAGGAAGTCAGCCGACTTTGCAGGCTTCCTGCAGGAAGTTATGTCATTATACCTTCTACGTACTTGCCCAATACAGAAGGCAATTTTACAGTGGTCATAGCAACCAAAATAGACAGGTAAAATGATGTTGTCTTCTATTTGCATTTCTAGATTTTTTAGTTCATATATTACAGGATGCTTGGAAACAATTGCAGTAACATGCTCTCTTGATAAAATTTTTTTGAAAGTCTTGGTATTACTGTTTTGTTTGCATGCACTGCTTACTACTTTGATTATGTTGGAATAATGACTAAAACCAGTAGAGTTTGTTAAATTTTTTTTCATCAGTTGCTGAATAGCTGATGTCTAGTGCTAGAGAAAATGCTAGCTAGAGTGCTAGAAGACACTAAAGTGTTTAATTGCCTGCTGTGTCATCAGGGTTAGAATTTATGTTGAAATTTAACAGCACCTTTTAATAATCAGGGTTGTTTTTGAGAAAGTGTGATGAGTAGCCAGCCTCATTCCAGGTAGTTTTTCCTGATGTGAATAACTATAGCTCTGAATCAGAATTGTAAATTCCGTAAGACTGCAGTAAGGCTCCTGAGAKTTGCAGAAAGATTTTCTAAGGAAAAGGATGTGGAAGGAAGCCTGATACAACTTCTTTCTTGGAAGTGGGTAATTAATTGATATTTGTAAGATTACCAATGCATTATGCAGAAATAAGTGTGGTTTGGATTCTCAACAGGAAGCGCATTCACAGCCAGGAGACRCTTGGACAAGTATTACAAGAGGTAAATGATACATTTTGATGCATATATATTGTTGTATTCATTCTTGGTGTCACCACAGATCTGCTTGCTGTTTTGCATATTTTCTTATAGGTTTCCTTTACAACTGTGATGAAAAGGTAGTGTGGGATTCTCACACTGTCATTTCAAGAAACATCGGAAAGCTGAGGAATGCCTCATCTCTTGCTCTTCTCAGTTTTAAATGGAGTAACAAGAAGATGCTCTTAGCCCAACTGTTTTTCACTGGTACCAACTGTCGTTGGTCTGTCGTTGTGTCTGTTGTCAAGGATAGACTTCTTTGTAAAATGTACCTCTTTTAATCATGGACACTCTCAATATTTGGTCTTCCCACATTTTTAGAAGGTGCATGGTACAGCAAATTATAATGTGCCTCAGTTCTTCAAAAATACAGGTGAAGAATATGTGCATATTTTAACCCAAGCTACAGTTTTGAAGGACAACCAGAAAAGTTACGTGTAAGGCCAGGTTGGGTGGAGCACTGCTGAGCCTGGGCTAATGGAAGATGTCCCTGCCTATAGCACGGGGATCGGAACAAGATGATCTTTAAGGACCCTTCCAACTATAACCATTCAATGGTTAAGAAATAATATTTTATGGGACAAAAAAAATCAACCTGACAGAATAACTCCAGGTGACCAAAGGGGTGGTAAACACAGAGTTAAAACTGGAGCCTTTTTTTCGGGTAAGACATACCTCAAGAACCATCAAAATACATTGGAGTAGAAAAAGTCCAAGCTTGTATCTGACACTGCCAGTCCTGCTGCTGAGCACTTTACCTTGGGCTCTCTATGGAGCCAAGCAGCTGGTGGGTTGAAAGGAGAGATTTTTGTGGTGAGTTTTTCTTTAATAAATGCTAGGAACAAAAATATCAAGACTTGAAATCTTTTGAACTATCCTGTCAGACTGCTTTTGTAAATCTGTAAGAATGTGTTTTATGACAGATCTGCCCTTGCTGCCAGAAATGTGAAGTTTAAGAGATTTTTCTTAATTTATGTTTGAAAGTATTTCTTATTCAAGCAGGATTTTTAAAATGTTATATTTTCCTCAATAAAAATAAAGTAACATTGAAAGTTTTAAAATGGTTTTTATTAAAAAGGTGAAAAATATCARTGATGTTAAGTTTGCATTTGTTTTGTGGTAGCAAACATTGCGGTGTGTTAGTACCCTGGGGTTTTTGCTTAGTGGAAGGGAATRATTGGAAATATTTGCAAGGAGAATCAAGTCTTCCATTCGTTTTATGTCCCTGAAGTGGGTGGTATTCTACTTTTACTTTTAACTACATCCTGCTATCATTTCTGCTAGCTCCTCTTGAACTTTGAAAATTGAAAGGATTTAGGATGCTTTCAGCTGAATTTTAAATGGTCAAAACCTTCCACGTCTGTTGATGTGGAAAAAGAACAAGGAAAACAACTGTGAGTAATAAATCTCTACTGTGCCTGCTAAAACAACTGTTGACATCTTCATTTGTTTTCCTAATTTATTGAAAAGCTGTTCCTTTCTCTTCAAGCAGGGAATTATTGGATCATACAATGATKTTTCTAAATAGAAGGAAAGGTTTGTGCAAGTGCATGGACCCGAGTTGTGATGAAATAGGATTTGGATACTGAGGAAGTAAAAGAAGGTGTAAGGATTTCTAAATGGACCGTGGTTATGAGAGGCCCCATCCTACAATCATTTTTATGTGTGTGAAGTTTATGCTATGCTATATAATGCTTTGTGAGACAGTKAAAGGAAAAGGAGTCAACACTAAGATGTGTACTCTGTTACCTTCTGCAGAAAGATTTAAGAAAAGACCTGTGAACTCAAAGTAGTAAAGACTTACTGAAGAGAATTTGATTCTTGCTCAAGCATCCTTACTGAACAGTTGTGCCATTTTAAGTGTGACACCTGACAGAGCACAGCTGTAGGAAGCTGCTTGATACAAGTCACTTCTCTAAAATCTTACAKCTAATTCATTGCTACTGTGAGTGTGAAAATACATTTTTTTGAAATGTAGTATTGTGTGTTTGCATATACCTAAGGCTCATTTATGTGAGTTTTGGCAGGTACACCTATTTTCATTTCAGAAAGTTCAGTAGATGAGGTCAGACCTCCTAAATAAAAACTCTACGGATTTGCTGTCTTGAGCTACCTACATTTCAATACAATTGAGATAGTGAAATGTGTTTTTAAAGGATCTGCAGTTATTAGCTATTTGAAATCTTTCTGCACTGTAGTGTGTTGCAGACTAACGTGGAATAGCGCAGAGTTTATATGGATGTGGCTGCAGTATTGCTCCCAAAATGTACTCCAGATTGATTTCCTTCACTCCCTCAGGGAGCTGGAATGTAAATGCCCGAAGGAGGTTGGTAAAGAAGATGAACARTTCAACTCGTGCCATCTGTTCCCCCAAACATACACGGTGCCCTGCAGGTGAAAACCAAAAGAGTTGGTTAAATTAAGTTAAATTCTGTAAAAGAACTTGACACAAGATTATACTGAGCTCCATAAATTCTGTTAAGACAATTTTTGCTGTATCCTGGTGTAGGGAGACAGAAGGTGGAGGAGGGGGGAAACATTCAACTGAGAAATTCTGCATCTCTGTTAAGTGTTTGATTTGGTGTTTTGGTTGGGTTTGTTTGGGGTCTTTTCACTGCTGGAGCATGTATGTGATTCTCCCTTTCCATTATTAATTCTTGTTCTGTGAGAACCATGAATTGCTTCTCAGCTAAGCCAGATTTTGAAAAGTTTCAAATACTTCAGATTTTATTCTTCTTTTGGTTGCTGAGAAGGGAGGGCTGGAGCATTGTGGGATGGAGTTCTAGGGCAAACGAGAAGGATGTAATCAGGGATTTCTTTAACTGAAATTCAGAAGGGTGTATTGGGTCCTTCCTGTTTGTATGGTGAAAATAAATAAATTTTCTGATTTAAGGGAATTCCCTTGATTTAACAGGGAATTCCCTTGATTTAACACATTAGGAACTAAGAAGCTCAGATACTCTTATGGTAGGAACCCTACCTATGGCAAGGAAGGAGCATTGTGTCTCCCAACCATACTTGTGCTCTGGTTGACTGTATGAAAAATACAAAATACCTGACAATATTTGTGGCTCTTACAGYAGAAGACCTGACTTTAAATCTTTGTGTAAAATACATTTTTATCAATGTATGTTTTTAAAATTTTAGAACTTAGAAGTAGTTTTTAACCTTGCTGCAAAACACAGTGAACAGGAATATTCAGGGTCCAGGTGTTACCTGCTGAGAAAGGTAAGAATGCTTCTTTGTTCACAAAGTTGCCATCCAAATCAAGGAAATGGTCTGGGTTGAATTTCCAAGGGGTTGCCCAGTGCTCAGTGTCATACACCACAGAGTGAAGATTTGGCAACACAAGTGTGCCCTGCAAGAAGGGAGTGGAGATCTTATTTTCCACATATGATTGATTTTTTTTTTTTAATTTTCCTTCTCTCCATGTCATATAAATGCTAAATATTAAGAGCTCTTTAAGAAACGTGGAGGTAGCCTCTGTACCTTTTTAATGTGAAAACCCAGCAGGGTTGTACTCCTCAGGCACTGTCGAGGGACCCCAACAGAAGTGACATTGCTGTAGCGCAGAGCCTCATGAATCACAGCATTTGTGTAGGGCAGCTTCTTACGGTCTTCRTAGCTGATGAGATCAGAGGGTTCCAGAACAGCATCTATCTCTCTTTGAACCTTTTCTGCAGAGAAATGAAAATATCTCAACTTTTTTTCCCTCCTTTTTTAATCCCAGCAGATTTTTGTATGACAATGTGCTGGAGTGGGGAAATAAAAGAAATTRTGTCGCTATGAAAGGCACTGGCATGTGGTTTACATGCTGTGTAAATTTCAGTTGGTCCAGGAAGTGCATATCCCCAAAGCACAGRATGATGTCTCATTTAAGATGCATCCTACTTGGTGATGAGGATAATCCATTTTTTGAAACATAGAATGGKATTAAAATTTGAAATGACAGGTATAATTTCTGTTTTATAAATACACAGTTCAAGTATCTTTTAAAAACTTTTCTACTTTGAAGGTTAGGAGGAGGTGAGATTGTGTTTGAAATGTCTTTAACTTGTTATTCTGTCTCACCAGCCCCTTACAGTGATGTAAAACTGTGGCTATCACTGATTTCTGCTATTGTTGTTGGTGAACCAGACAGGGAAGCATCTGTTTGTTTCATTTATGGACTTTCCATTTTCTAGATCTCAATTGTTGGTGTACCCCCATTCATGTGCATAGCTAAGGGGTTTTTTGATATCTTGCAAGTGATTGAGCTGGCACTTAGGGTAATGATATTCATTATGATGTTGAATGCAGTTCTCTCTAATAACACTTTTGCTCACCTTGTATTTCTGGGTATTGTACCATGTAGAGCAGTGCCCAGAGAAGGGTGGTRCTTGTTGTTTCTGTCCCTCCCAGCAAAAGATCGACCACAGTCTGAACCATATTTTCCTTATTGAAGGTAGAAGTAGGGTCATCTTTGGTCTGTAGGGTATATTCACAAGAAGAYTATGAAATGGGTAATTTCACATATTGCATCGGTCACATACAMATTGTCATTGTTTGATGAAAACAGTGATTAGCCCACCAAAACAAGCATCTTCAGTTCTACACAAATAGAGTGTGCATGTAAAAATTCTGTGTCAGTTACTGGAACAGCAAGTGTTTGTAGGCARTTGAAGCCAAGGAGGGGAGAGTGTGATAAACAGATACTTACTTTTGTTATTTGAGCCAGGTAGAAGTCAATGAGATCCTGTGCATGACCTGTGTTCTGTCTCTCATGAGCCTGGACCTCCTCCCTGACTAAACTGTGCATGAAGTCATTGTGTGCAAACACTTCCTGATGAGGCCCTGGGAGATGGTGCATGAGCCACGGGAAAGCATCGTACAGCTGTGGTGTTAAACAGAGAGGAAGGAATGTGAGATCCCAGTTCTGATTTGCTGATCATTGTGAAGTCACTGCAACACATAGGCAACCAATTCGGGATGAGAGGCAACAGACACAAGTAAGGAAGATTAAATATTGGGAATGTGATTATATTTTACTTTTTGGATCAATGTGTAATAATGCAGCAGGGGTTCTGAAAATGGATGACTAATTGTGTGCTGAATCTGGCTTACAAACAGATTTTCTCAGCCTTGAATTTTTTTAATGTTACTTTTTTAAGGTATCCCTTTATGGGGAACCTGCTAGACTTTTAGAATGCCAGTGGGCCAAAATCTGCACAACTTAAGCAATAGCTAGGGTTTCAAGAACTTAAAAAGTATTCTTCTTGTAAGCTGTATCTTGTAGGAAGCTCAGAATAACTCAGATCTTGGTAGTAATATGAATTACATGAGAGGCAAGATATCTTTTCAGAAGAACAGGAGTTTGAAGACTTAGTTGTTATGAACTGCATTTCTGGATTTGCAAGACTAAAGGACATTTTAGAAGTTGCTTTCATTTTAAGAACTAAGAATTTTGAATACATAGTATTCTACAAATGATTGCTCACTGGAAATCTGTGAAAACCAGTGATGATCTAGAATTTAGATTCCAGGATGTGATTTGCAGACATAAAGAAGGATTAGAAGTTAATAATGACATATACAAGGTATATATTGATTTTTTTAGTTCTCGGTGGTTTGTAGAACAGTGGTGTGTTTAGAAATGGAGAAGTTTGTGAATAATTGGCACTGACTTTTAATTTGTTTTGACTTGTCAAGTGCAAATGCACCTTAAAGAACAGGAACAAGAAAATTAGGTTCTTACCCTGCCCCAGATAGTACCTTGAAAGTAGATCACAAAATAAATAGCTTTGATAAGTTTACTGAAAGATTCATCCTCACTGGAGAAGCGATGGCCAAAAACAACAGCACAAATGATATTTGCAATAGCACAGACGATGGAAGTGTGGGGGTCAAAAGGTTTGCCTGTGAATATGAGAGGTATTGTGAGAACTTCTGAATGGATTGCAGCCAGCAAAATGAAGAAGACTTCTTTTTAATGGTAAAAACAATGGGGGCTCAGAGTAYTTTTAGATAAATTTCATGTAAGTGAAGCCTGGTTTAATACGTATTAACTGCGTGAATTGTAAGTGCGGGGAACTTGATTTTCAATCTGCTCTTTACTCTTGTAAAACACAGTGGTTATCTGTTTTGAGAAGACAAACTTAAAGTCTCTTTTCCCTTCTTTGACTTGTGGTCTGGGTTGTGTGGAAATGCAAGCAATTAATTAAAAGCATATGCCTTCAAATATGGAGGTAGATATTTAAGTTTAGCAGTTAAAAACCAAAACAAACAATCCCCTGCCCCCCCACCAAAAAAAAAAACCCAGAAAAAATATTTTAGAATTTCATTTTCTCAGGTTTGTTGAAATAGCTTGTCTCTTTTCAGTTTTCAAGTAGCAACTTAACAACCTCACCATATACGTGTTGTCTTTCCACAGACTGAAAAGGCAAAACTCACATAATAGGGTGGAAGACATCCCCCATTGCAAAGGATTAAATCCAGAAAAAAATAAACACACATTCCAAGGACAACTTTTGAAGTGTACTCCTATGGAAAATGCATYCCTGACTTTTGTCCAATGCTCTTGGTTGTTCTTGGAAAGAATAAATGCATTTATTGAGTTTAAAATTGAGAAAAGGATTGCATGGTAGGTAAAGCTTTGGGCTGTACAGGAACTTGAGATGTTTTTTTCCATGTMCTACCTTTTAAAGATGTGTGAATGAACTGCTCTCAGTAAAGAGATGGGCCTGGTCCATGGAGATTTGGAGAGAGACCTCAGACAACCTCTCTGTGTTTTCACATCAGTATGGAACACAATGTGGGTGAAGGATTTGGCTGCTCAGAATATTTATATTTAATTGCTTTATTTTGGCATCTTGCTAAAATTCTATTGGTTTCTATTTCATCCAAACCTTAAAAAGAAGTTTTGTGGGATAACTGAATGATACATTCCTTGTGTTGGGGTTCTTTCTCTGCCAAATCCTAAAACTCTGCTGTCCTAGAATGACTTGCAGCAGGTCACACATTGTGTRTTTCATGGAGGCTTTTTCTATACTCCTTGAATGTAAGAATTATTACCAGCTGTCTCCAAGACTATGTTGATAATAAACATTTTTTTAACTCTCTTTATTTTAACAAAACAATTTTATATTGCCCACTGTGCAGACAAAACATTTTTTGCAAAGAATGTGGTTAAGAAGCCAGTGGAAGTTCTACTAATATAAAAAATATCTATATTACTTGTAAAGATGTATTGTGAAACTTTTACTACCCTGGTATTTCAGGGAAACCTCTAAGTATTCTTTAGTGAATTTACCTTTTGTGTTTGCAAAGATGTCCAGTAGGTGACAGGCCTCTGTTTGAATTTGATGCTCCAAGTTGTTCTTACCAAGTGCCAGACTTCTTATAATTGTCATGCCAAAGCGTCTCTGCTGCTTCCAGGTGTGGCCATTTGTCAGGAAAATACCTGAAAAACACAGAAACATTTAGTTCATTGCTGGCAAGGGAATCCTTTCACCGCAGGAAGCAAATTTTGGGTTAGATGAGGTGATATTTCACTAATAAGATACAATTATTTTAGATTTTAGAAGCTGAATTTTGGTCTCTAACTGAGGATTTTGTAACCCCCCAGATGCTCATAAACGTGTCCTTGGCAACTGAATGAGTTTTGGGAAGGACAGAACCCTTGTCTATTGATGTCTTCTACATGAACAGTCTTCTGGTTTAGAAGCGATACAATTGAAGGGCAACTTCTCCAGGCAAGTATTCCTTTAGATCTATTGGGAAGGAAAAAGACTGAGTGATGTGCTTTATAAGACCAGAAATTTTTTTGATTTTTTAAATATGCTTAGCTCTTCATGAAACCTTTTAGCAGTGCAAGCCCAGTTATGCCCTYGCACAGCAGGAGCTGAAGAGTGTGCCCAGGAAAACATTGTCCTTCTTAAGAACTTATTTCTACTACAGTCTTGTCTAACACCTCATACCTTTCTCACCCATCATGTCCCTGTAGAAAGGGGTGAGAGGTCTTCCAGAAACTTCTTCTGAGTGYGTGACAATGCCATCTTTGACTGCTTTGTATCCATTCAGTACAACGAGGGGTGTCTGTCCCATCCACAGCGTGTAGATGTTTCCGTAGATGTTGGTTAACTGAAGAGTTAATAACAGGAAACTAGTAACCAAAAGCCAGGGAAAGCATGCATTAAATGTCAATGTATGTAAGAGTTTTGCATAGTTGTAACTAAACCTATTTGTTGACATCAAATTGAATGCAGGTTTACAAAAAAATTATCCTTCTATTACWGATGAGCGTTGGGAAGAGAAGATAATTGTTCTTTATGGAATAGATGCTAAGGACATCTCTCTTTTTTTTTTCTGAAAATTTCATGAAAAGAAAAACAGTAGGTTTATTCTGTTATCTCTGAATCAAAGAACAAATAAATACAGGCAAAATCCCAGAGTTTTTCTGTTTATTTTAATRATTGAGAAAAATTATGGTATTTTCTTGTCTCTAATTTACAAAGAAAGCAAAGAAAGGTTCTTACACTGTTTTCTATAGCTTCCACAGGATTTTTCTACTTTTCCTCTATTGTCATTCCTCAGATCATGCTTGTATTTTCCCTTGCAATACTTTGAAGCAAGTTCCTCGCTTTTACATTGACTGGTAATCAAGCTTGAGTTTTTAAAAAAAAATAGCAATTTAGGCTGTTCTTATGCAATGCGCAATTTATGTTAAAATAGATTCAGACTGATTTTCAACCATAGAGATAAATAAATACCTTACTGAGGGTTTCTCGACGAAGTTTGAAGTCCAGCAGCCACAAATTTCCAATGATGGGGAGGGGAGCAGGTCCTGGAGGAAGCTGTGTACGCATCCATTGAAGCTTTAGGAATTGCAAAGTCAGGAGACATACTACTAGAACTATAAAACTCTCAGTAATCCCCAACATTTTATCAAAATATTAACTTCTCTTTAGGTGCTGGTTTGGTTTTTGGTTTTTGTTTTTATTTTTTTGTTGTTTTTTGTTTTTTTTTGTGTATGATTTCTTCTTAAAATTTGGCTTTGTGGAGATGTGTTTCTTCTACTGAATCCAAACTCTTTCTAAGAATATGCCTCCTGTAACCATGTCTCTCTGACAATCTACAGTTTTCCCAAGCTGAAGTCCTCAGAAAACCAAACTATGTGATCCTTTGTGGTTAGCCAAGCCACACCCACTCTTTTTTTTTTATGATCTGTAATTGTGCTCTTTTTTTCACTTAGAATTTTGTTTCCTTCTTAGTCTTGATACTGGGTCAAAGTGCCAAYTATTGAATAGTTGTCCAAGGTTATCAAGAGTTTTGGATAATGGTGACACCTCAGGTAGTTTCCTGTAGTTAAACATTGAAATGCATTACTTATTGTTGTTTTGAAATACTGCAATTATTGTRTGGTTTCTTTATAGAGAAGAAACATCTACACAATACCTGAGGTCTCTGAGGTGTAGAAGAATGAATTCATGCAGTATGAAGCTAAATTAATGTCCTTAATAAGAAAARAGGTAATTTAATAATTTGAAGAGTATCTCCTTTCTCGTTTTATAAGATCCTAGGTTAAGTTATGATATTATGTGTGCACTAGTGAGAGATTATTTTTCTGTCCATCAGTTTATATGGTGTTTTCTGACTTGTGTTTTTTAATGTTTAATTTTATGCTAAGTTTTAAAATCTTCTGATACAAATTTTGGWGGTGGAACAATGCACAGGTTCTGTGTAATCTGTGGAAAAGAACAAATAAATGGAAGGAAGAAAAAKGCAAAAATGTTAATCCTTACTAATTTGTGGACTCTGTAAGTTTTCAGGAGAGGTTTGTACCAGTGTACAGCAAACTTTAACTTGAGACTTACTTTTCATACTTACTGATATATTACACAATATATTATATTTTGTTCAAGAACTCAGGTAATGATATATCTTTGAGTCTGAATAGGAGATTAAGGAAATCCATACAGTTGTATAAGTTTCCTGTTTCAAAATTTTTCCATCATTTCTCTGAGCAGGCTTGCTGAATTTTCTAGTCTGCAGTTTTCAGTTCRAAAAGTTTCAGCTAAATCATTGATTGGACTCGTTATGATCCTGAAATATAAAGGTTTAATGCTATCCATGTGTATCTCAATAACTGAATTAAACTCCAAGAAACTGAGAGTTACAGGTGTGAACACTCAGTTAGTTTTCTAAAGAGTTCAAATTTTTTCTTTGTGTATTAAATACAATCTTGTGCTATTCAATCTTGAAAAMTGTGTGGATGAGGATTTGTCTCTTTTATTCTCTAGTGGATTGTAATAAATTTAGATTCCAACAGGAAACACAGGGGCGGTTTCACAGGGATGCAGTGRTATTGCACCATTTTCTTGACTGACTTCACTGTGCAGTTTCATGCAGCTCTTCTGCTTTAGTGTACTGCATGTGCAGATGCTTTCCCAGGAAGTGTGGAAGTGAAGCATCCATCAGAGAGCAAGGAGCATCTGTTATCTGTTTGTTTAGATTATTGGGTAGAGAAATGGAGACAGGAAAATTTGAAAAGCATCATTTCCAGAAGCACAGTTCTATGAATCTTACACTTGAAGAGTTAAATAGACAAAAACCTGAGGAAAGCAATTTGAAATTCAATGACTTTCATTGCTTTGTCAACCAATTCTAGACAGTTCCATATATATATATATATATATATATATATATATATATATATATAAAAAATTGCAGTGTTACTGAGTTATGCTATTGAGCAGTCATGCACCCATTTTTTTTCAGATTTTGATGCTATTTGAGACTTTAAAATGAGTTACCTGATGAAACTAACTGCACTTGCTGCTTGTGTGCATCAGAATTTAATTTCTTCATGTTTTATTTCTCCCCATTTCMTCTAGCTGKTTTTKTCTGGTTAAAAAGAWGTGASTGCTGTTCTATTTCTTATTTGTCCACAGAATCACTTGTTAAGTTTGCAAGTTTTGCAACARTGAAAGCTGTTGATGTTCACATGCCCATCAATGAGAGTATGATTTATACACTTAAAATTACCAGAATTAAGATGAGTTAAGCCTTGAAGTTGCCTGTTAATAACAGTGCTTAATGATGCAACTTCAGAAAAGAAAACAAAAACAAAGAGAAATGCTTAATGTGAGAGAAATCTGGGTCTGGCTGAGTAAGACTCAGACCCACCAAGAGGGTTAGTCTGAATCTGAACCCTTTGGACACTGAGCAATGTGTTTTCCTGCTGCTAGGTGAGAGCTGTGGGCATGCTGAGGTACAGTGTGGCAAAATTATTTCACAAAAGCTTGGGCTGAAGTTCGCAAGGAAAGGAAAAGCAAGGAAGTTGTTTCAATACTGCATATTTTAATATTTTCAGTATAAGTGAGCAGTAGCTATTCACATCTTGCTCAATCTCCTCTGACACAAATACTGTTGCAAGAGCTCTCCAGTTAAGATGACAGATAYTAAGTTTGGTTGTTTTGAGCAGATGAGGAAACCTGCTTTTGTAATGAAGGTTTCAGGCCATAGGAGTGGGAAGCAAAGAAGAGCATCTCTTGGAAGGTGTGAAGAAAATGATGAATGTGCATTCTGGGGGTGGAAAGGGTTTGTGGCACACCTGTGCCCAGGGGGTGTGYCATCTGCTCTACCAGAGAACCAGGGCTTGTTTTTGGTCTGTTGCAGAGACAGGCTCAGCAGCATGTATTAGAAAAAACACTGCCTGGTTTCAGGAACAGAAATGTTCTTGCTGCCCGGCCTGGCCTCAACCTAAACAGCATGGATATTGCTAAGCAGGTTTTGGGGGTTTTTTTTTGTGGGATTGTTTTTATTTTTGTTATTATATTTTTCCCCAGTGGAGACACTAATTTGTATTTCTCAACTTATCTGTGCCTTCTTCCCCTACCCTCCCCAATCTTGCAAGATCTTGGTAACAGGAACTGTTAATTGGTCAAAAGCATCAGAATTTCTCTCACAGAAGACAATTACACAGACATTCTATGTCCAGGCAAGCACTGAGAGACAGAGAATATGGCTTAGAGCAGAGAGAGAGTGAACGTGAGACTAGGAAATGTGAGTGAAAGCAATTCCTGTTCTGTGTTTCAGTTCCGTTCAGGAAAAAAGATTTTTGCTTGCGACGTACATGCATTATAAACTAAATAGGTTTTTGCCTGATGAACTGTTTAGGTTTCATAGGCAAAGTACTGGAATGGGACTTGAAACTTCAAATTCTGTTTCTAGATATGTTCATAGCTTGTTTGTGACTCTCATGAACTTGCTTTATTGCTCTGGGCCTAATCAACCCCTATGTTCACTTTTCAAAAGAGCTTGAAGATTGACTAATGAAAGTCAAGTTGAAGATGGCAGATATGACTGTTTCTGTTCTTTCCCTGTATTTTCTTCTCACTCCTCTGGACTAAACCTTMATTAGAAAAGAAGGTTTTCTGAGCTCACTAAATATCTGCCATCTCTGCCAATGAGCTGTTGTGACAGTATTTGTCAGATAATAATGAGTACAGCTTGCACAGAGAGGTGCTGCTCACATCTAATGAGGGTATTGGAACCTGAAAAACTGAATTTCCCCAAAACAGCTTGCTTGTAAAAAGCTTTTCTGTAAATAGAAAAGGTGCCTCTACCTCCTTGATCTCACAATTACTTTGTGTTTTAGTCCTTTATTTGTGCACTTAAGTCCTGCAGTTCCTGCACRTTGATGGAGTTCATTTAAATTCTATCACTCTGCATTACAATGAATTGTAACATCCATCACTTTCTCTTCCTGCTAGTAATACCTGGTCATCCCAGTCATCTCAAAGTAAAACCAGGTGTTATATGTAATCTTATAGAGATTTACCAAATTTTTGGCATCACCGAAATGTAGTGAGAGCAGAGCTAGTAAAACCAAGAGCTCTAGCTATGAGGAAGGAAAGTGACTGCTGTAAACATTCTTCATTTTGTTTTCCCTTCTTTTTTTTTTTTGTTGTTTATTTTGTTTGGGCTGGTTGGTTGGTTAGTTTTGTCTGTTTTGGTGCTGTAATGCAGTGCTATTTAGGTGAAAGCAATGCAGAGCTTACACAGGTGCTGRGGTGCTGTAAGTCCTCAATGTGAGGGAACTACAAAGGCTTGGCACCTTTTCAGTTTCTCTGGTTTGTGAAGTGCTGTGTAATCCTGGCTGTGTAATCCTGGCAGCGCTCTGCACTCAGCTGCAGAGGAGCTGAACAGAGACAAGAATTTGATAGGCTAAACCACAGCACAAATCAGTTGCCCTTTTCTCTCTGACGTGTCRGAAAGAAGTAATTAATGTTGTACAGACAGTTTTACTTCTGGCATTTCTTAATGTTTGAATATTTGCAGCTTCAGCATTCTTTTTGACTGTTTTTTGGAGCAGTGTCTAGTAGCCCAGCTGCTGCACTTGGAATGTCAGAAGTTGTGGATAGAACAGAAAATTTGCAGTAAGACTTGTTCAGATGACTAAGCCAGGGGCTGAGGTTTAGAGGCAGCCTAGGAYTGACTCTTCCTTTCTTACAGAACAGTATGGTTATTGTAAATATATACTGTCCTGACTGATTCCTGAGCATTGGAAGGAATTTCTGGAGTCCAACTCAGATTAATTACTGTGTGAGGAAGGATTTTTTTTTTTCCCCAGGGAAGTGTTCTTGCCCTTGTCAACATAAGATAGATACCTTGAATTCTACTGAAGAACTGGGATGAATGAGTAAAATGTGAAAAAGCTTTCAAAATGTGCCTGATGTCCTTTCTGCCAGCTCATAAGTAACACCAATGGATTATGCAATTGGAGTTGCAAGGATGAGTTGAGGTTTTTTGGATAGCAAATCTTGAGAGAAAATGACAGCCCTCAGGTAAAACTGTGCTCTGAGAGAGCAACAGCCTCGGAGAAAGCACAAGGCAAGATGACAGGTATGGTGGAAACAGGAATTAAGATCAGTAAGTGCCTTTTCATGTTCTTTCTGCAGGGCWATGTGTATTTTTGGGAAAGCAGTTAGCACACAGGGAGTTCTTTGCCTTCTGCAGGCATTTAGATTCACCCTGTCTGATGGAATTAAAGAAGCCAACACATAAAATCCTTTGGGGAGCACTGTGCAGCCCCATCCCTGTAAAGGTCTGCTGTTCTTCATATGGCAGCTTGGTTCCAACATCCCAAACAGCCAATTCCATACCTGGACTCTAGAATAAGAACTGCTCCTGTTCGTTAGAATTTTTTGGTTTTTTTTTTTTTCCATACCTGGACTCTAGAATAAGAACTGCTCCTGTTCGTTAGAATTTTTTGGTTTTTTTTGTTTTGGTTTTTTTTTTTTGTGTTAAGGTCTTTGCATGTGCTGCTTCAGGTGCTGTGAATTAAAGCAAAGAATTACAGGCTCTGAAATTTATTCTGGTTGAGCAGGACTCCTGCTACTGACATAAGGCAGAAACTAATGCATGAAACCTCACAGGRGGCAAGAATACAGCTCCAATAGGGAGTTTGAAAAGTTTGACTGCTGACTGGAAACTTCTGCAAGTTGTGTTAAAAGGCAGCCGCTGGGATCTAATAAAGTCCATGCAAAATCTCTTTCTTGACCTGTCATTTAGGCCGTTGTCTCAGGTAATTACGTGACATAGAGGTGTGTTATCAAAATCTAACCTGAGTCAGAAASGGGSAGAGCAGYTGAGGAAATAWAATGCCAGAGGTTTCTGGGGTTAAATCAGAGGGAGATTCTTTGACCTATTAGTGTTTGTCACGTTATAGGAATAAGCTGCCATGGGGAATACAGCTTTATGTACCACTTCTGTTTTCCTTCATAGGCAGTAAAGTTTTCCTTCATAGGCAGTAAAGAATTTGCCATGTACAATGTCTATTATACTTAGTGGAAACAGGAGAAAATTTAGAAATTAACCTGGATTTCTGAATTATTGCAGGTTGACAACAAACTTTGTAAAACTTCCTAATTTCTTTAGCTCCTTTATTGCACTGGAATTTAGTCTTAGATCAGTCATGGGAGGGGGCTGAAGGAAAAGCCAAAATGGTGTTCAGGGCACGCTGGTCCATGGTCCACCCATGCTGGGTCTGAAACAGCCTCTCACACTCCTGTTCTGTGAGCATCCTCTGCAGCACAGGGAGCTGTGAAAGGCACTGAACTTGCAGGTGCACTGGACTTTCAGACCRGATATGGGCGAGCTCTGGTGTGTGGAGCTGAGGAATTTAGAAAAGCRTGAGTCASGGGTACAGCCAGGCCTTGGTGGGTKGAAGARCATTTTCCTTCACCAGAATCTTTCCAGAARATGTTCAGTGGTGTCTCCTGATATATGGTGAAGCGGGATGTGAGGTCTGTAATGGTTTTTGTTGATAGTATTAGTTATGTTTGATTCTTCACTGTGCTATTTGCAGTTCGTCTGTATTGTTTATTGTGAAAATTCAGATTACAACACTTCATTGCTCTTGGTTCCCAAGTCTGCATCTGCAACCACTCTTATACAAGGCTACTGACTGCTTCCTTTTACCTCTGCCCCAAGAATGCTACCTGATGGGTGTTCCTGTCCTTGTCTGACAGCTGCACCTTTGTACCTGAGCTCTTGGCATGCACATGGTGTTGTGAGTGACACATTCCATCAAACTGATTGCTYAAAGGGGTATTTCTGGCTGAGGTTCCCACCTTCTCTGATCCAGTCTCTGCTGGATCTTTAAATAATGGTATCYATTAGCATATTGCAGCATAGTGATGTATTAAATACACTCAAGAATGGAGTGCTCCTCATTTTCTTGGATCAGGAAGAGTGGTAGGAAAGAAGGGAGATGAAAATTCAGAAATCTTCAGTGTAACAGGGAAGAGTTAAGAGAAACAATACATAGTAATTTCAACAGACAGATTCATAGCAGTTTTATAATACAAGTTTGRAGGTGTGAAATGATGATAAGTGTAATTCTCATATACGTGGTTTTGTTTCTTCTGAGTGTACAGTTCCTGAATTTGCAATGGAAGAGTCGTGGATTTCCTCCTGGGCCAATCCCATTTCCYATCATTGGAAGCATCTGGTGGATAAAGTTTAGAGCAGATCATGGGAGCCTGAAAAAGGTATGTATTTGCAGATGTGAAATGAAGAGTTAGTGAGGCAAAATGTGTAAAAAATGGTGATGGTTGTTGATAGACTGATGTGGTAGCAGGGAGAACTCAGCCCTGAGAGAAGGTGAATTGTGGAAKTGAAGTGCCTAAACAAGGTAAAAACCTGGAAACAGTCTAATTCATATGAAAGCTGGTTTGTGTGTGAGTTACACAGAAGTGAAGATAGTAATTTTGCCACAGAAAAGACTTCTGTTTTTAAGGGAATCTTTGGCTTTGAAAAAAAAAGTGATTCTCAGATTTGCCACTGCAGGCATATATTGAAAATCTTTCAAAGCAAGGTATCTTGAATTCAGAAGGTGTGAAAAGYGCACCAGGATATCTTCTGCTGTCAGGGGCTAGAAACAAGATTGTATTTCATATGCAAAATGCCAAATCCTTTGTTCTGTTGTTTCTCTGAAGTCTGGTCTGGGATATGCTCTTTCCAGATAAGCTAAGAATGTAAATGATGGTGAAAGAAAGAACTGATGAGAAAAATTAGGTCCCAGCTAAGCCTGTTAGTACAAATTCTTTCAGTTTTCAACATTCTCCACTGAAGAAAAATGTCACAAATGAATCCAATGTGTTAATGTATTTTTCAAATTGCAACCTTTCCTTATGTGCTGTGTGCAACCTGCAGGCCAGGGGGTACCTGGCTGCAGCTGGAGAATGTCAGCTTCAGGAAAAGGGAACTTAAAAGACTTTGATGCTAAAATTTGCTGGTGGGTACGTGTTCATCAGTGTGAGAGGACAGAGCTGTACTCATTCTTTGTCTAGAGTCAGGGACTTTGTCCTTACAGAATACCCACAGCATTGCCTGAGAGCAGTCCCCATGACTACCCAGAGATGGGATCTGTGCTCAGATGCCTCAGTTGACAGTATTTCAGCACAAGATGGGAAGAGTTCCTGCTACTGAAACTTGAAATCTGCAGTACTAGATGGAGAGTTACACCTGGAATTCAAAATTTCGAGAAATTCTGGTTGTTGTCTGAGGGAATGAAATAAGGAGTTGAAAATACAACCAGGAATAGGCAGGTGAAATTTCACATGAAACCTCGTACAGATCCATAAACACTCAAGGGCATTTACCCTATGGTTGGTATTGCAAAGGTAACCCAGGTCAAGTTTTACAAAGGGGAAGGCCATTTTTTCTTTCATTGCTCACATTTCTGTGGGTAGCATGTTCCCAGACCCAGAGCCCAGATCCTTCCTGTGGAAAGCAACTCCACCACAAAACACAGCCACTGTMCCTTTTCACCTCCTGAACCCCTGAGTAACATTGTGCTGGAGGAGTGCAGCCCATCGTGTGTGCCTGTTTGTTGATGTTTCTCCCCTGGGTATTTTTTTGCATTGATCTAACCATTTTTTTTCATTGATCTAACCTGCAGCTGGCAGAAACCTATGGCAACATCTGCACCCTGTGGATGGGTCACAGACCTGTGATGGTGCTCTATGGGTTCCAAGCTGTGAAGAATGGTCTCGCCAACAACTCGGAGGATGTTTCAGGGCGACTGCAGACCTACGTTTTCAACAAGATGGCACAGGGAAAAGGTAAGATGTTCATGTCTGTGGAAGAACTTCATCCTTGACTTTCTTTGTTTCCTCTCATGTTTTTCTTACTGATAAGCTCTTAGTTCTCAACTTACTCTGTCTGCTCAAGGTGAATCWTATCATTCTGTAGCATTACCCTAAGTGGTCTCTAAAGTCCCACTGTCACATGTGTATTTCAGAATCTTATCAGAGCAACAATATCGGTCTTATTTATCCATTCTTAGTGTTGTCTGCATGTCCTGATTTGAAATAATCCGGAGCTTGCAGCCTCCTCTGCAAGCTGAGACTAAAGTAAATCTTTATGCTCCCAGTTGTTTGTTTACAGCAATGCCTGTTTTAAGGAAAACATATACAGAACTCTGGATAAGATCTAGTCTTGTTCCAAAGTACAAAGTCACAGGAAAGTCACTGGAAGCTTTAAATTTATTAGCCAGAGTGTGGATGCAACATATTTGTGTTCAGAGTTTCATATTGTGATTTCACAAACACTGCTGAATCACAGTGGATGGAGAATAAAGGCAGTGTTGTGTTTAAAGRARGAATAATTGAACTTGCTTTTGTCARTCTCTTATCCAGAGAATATACAGCAGRTGCCTTTATCCTCARTCAGGATTTGTTTCATGTGAACTASAGATTGGAAAGTTTTAATTTATAATGTTAGCTAATGTAAGTAGAGAAAAGGTGTAGAAATTATTAAGTCTGGGGCCCTTTCAGTCCATTTGGAAGGATGTGTATTGCCACTCTTTTTTTCCTAGGTGCTCTAGAGAAAAGTAGCTSTATTGTAACAAGTGCCCTGAAACCTGCAGTTTGTAGCAGGGATGGCTTTAACAAACAGCTACAGCTCAGCTCCGAGTCTGTGACTCTGSGACACAAATACTTGCCTGTTGGGCTCCTTTCCTGCTAGCCCAGGTTCCTGGGGCAGCAGAAGGAATARGGGAGAGTTATTCCAGTCTGTAGGGAAGCAACTGTCTTGGGAACAAGCCGACTTTTCCAGGGGAAGTGCAGGCTGAATTGGTGGAGGGAACTTCCCCACCAAGCAGATTGAATAGTTCATGCTGGGTGGTCTCTGCTAGAGCACAGACTCACAGCAGAGCAGCCTGGGATTCTTTCTGTCCCACAGGAACTCTGATACTAAGAAATCTTACAGATTGGCTGAAGCCTGTTTTTCCTTCTCTCATTTTTGCTGGTTTGTCATTTACAATTGTATGAACGTTAATATGACATAAAATTCATTCTTGATGGCTGAAGGTATCTTGATGTCWAATGGTCTCATCTGGAAACAACAGAGAAATTTTGGATTTGGAACTCTCCGAAAAYTGGGAATGGGGAATAAAGGAATGGAGCGTGGGATACAGACTGAAGCCCATTACCTGGTTGAGTTCTTCAAAGAAAAAAATGGTATGGCATTGACACAGTACTCAGGGGCTGACACTATATATAGTCTGCATGACT